CTTTGTTCCATCCCACATGTTTCTTTGATGGAGGCTTTTAACAAGCCTCCTTTGTAAATCCAATAAAAAACATTATCAAGGTCATCACCCTTTCCCCTTTAAGTTTTAAAACTTGAGTCAGTTTCTTCCAGCAAAAAATCCTTATCCAGGCCTGTCACTTGTATTTCCATTTTAAATGACTTGTTATGTGTTCCACACTTTTTAAAATCCAATATTTCTGATTCTACTATTTCTACATCAAGCAAAATTTGTTTCATATTTGTCATTTCTTCATTAACTTCTTTCTATCCACTCTATCCATGGAAACAGACCTTGTTATTGATATTATTGATTTAGTGGTTACCAAATTCTGGCCCTTTTCTTTAATATTTCAAATATTATAATGTGTTGTATCATTTTGTAAATTCTAGTAGTGATCAAAACGAAAGTTAAGTTTACACTTTTTTTCCTTTTTTCCTGGAATCTTTAGTCCCCACTATAATTTGCTTTGTGACTTACAGTAGACAAAAGCTGTTTTACATAATTAGTTCCAAAATTTTATATTAAACGTTTCAGTGTTTCAAATTTGTTTGGAACCTTGTTTATAATTTTCTTAGTTTAAAATCTTATTTAGCTTTTTGCCATTTAAAAAAAAAACTTAAGTTCCTAAACTTCTAGTTAATTTTTCCTTTGTTCAGAAATAAGATAGGCTTTTCAAGCTTGTCATTTTGAAGTTCTCTAATAGTTTAAGATAGATAAATAAGCAATTTCCAGAAGCGATTAGAAATTGGGGTTGACAAACTGTGTCCTTTAAAAGGCTCTGCCATGTTTGTGAGTAACATGATGACTAATGTCTTCATCACCCAAGGCTCAAACCTGGGGAACCTATATCATGCTGTTTCCTTGCAAGAAACAGCCTTCAGGAACATATGAGGGTAGTCTTCTGTCCTCTCCTTGTCTCGAAAGATTCTGAAGAACTGGTTAATTCACTGGTTCTTCAATCTTTGCCATGGTCATTGTACCTTGACACACTGCCCCGAAACCCTGGTAGAACACTATTCCCAATTCCAGAAACATTTGGGTTCAATTCCTGAAATCTCTAATAAAAAGTGTCAAGAACCAGAAGAAGGGAAGGAGCCCAAGCTGAATTGCTTGAAGTTGATGACATCCAAAACAATTTATTTGTTTATTCTAAGGAATCCCTCAAAGTTGATTCACTCAAGCATCCCTTTTTTCAATATTTTAAAATACTGCTGGCTTTCTGTAACAGTTTAATATCTACCCAGGTTGCAGACAACTCCAATACCACTTGTAAGGAACTTCTACAAAGCCACAATATCCAAGTTATGTTAGTTCAGCTGGCTCGGTGACAGACAATGCCAACTAAAACACTACATACTTTATCTGCTTCAAATCAAGACCACGCATGCTATTCCATAGAAACAGGCAAATCAAGAAAGCTAGTTCAATTCCAGGGAATAAAAGGCAAAAAGCAAGTTCCAGTATACACCGTGTGTGCAATGTGACCAGCAGATCAATAACAGACCAATCAGAGGCAGAATGAGAGGCAATGTTTGTGCTCTGAGTAACTGGTGTTGAATTATGGGATGAGTGGGATGTGGGTAATTAAATTTACAACCTTATTTCTCCCTCTAATTGTAGCCACATGTTTTCCATTCATTGTTTGAAGAATTAGAGTCTGGAACCATAAAGTAGACATTTTTTCTCTCTCCACTCTCCACCCTCCCTCCCTCCCTCCCTCTCCCTCCCTCCTCAGACTCTAGTTACATTCAACCCTGTGCAGGTTGATACTTATCTCTCCCCATGGAACAGTTACCTTTGAAGATTGTGCCACTTGCCTACACCTAATATAAAGCATCTCTCACTGAAGGCCCAAAGTTTCTCAATATACCAATAAAGGAGAATATGTGTAGCCCAGTACTGATGATGTTACAAGAAAACAAATAAACTCAGAGACCCCTCATTTCTCAATATAGTCAATTCAAACATTCACAGCTATGAGTCACCAAGCTCCAATCACAACAAATGGTAGAAAATCAGAATGTGAGGCAAGGATGCCTAAACTAATCCTTCATTTCCAACAAATGCACCTCACTACTCTCGGTGTCATCCAAAGCTAGGAGTCCATCTTAACCAAATCACCACACCTCCGGAGAGGGATGACTTTTACTTCCCATTAGGGGACCTTTAATCAGGCCACTGCATGCTGTGGGACCATTAAAGAATCATGGTGACCCAGAAGACCAAGATGTTCGCTCAAGGAAAGAAAAATAAAAAGATAACCTGGGGAGGAAATAAGCTTTTGGTAAAGCAGCAGAATCATTTGAACCTGGGTTTGGTTAAATAAAAAAAAAAATTCTAAGCCCACTGGAGAGAAGGCCATCCAGATTTTCTTGAAATACAACTCCCAACCTCCAACTCTTTTAACTGTATTCAAACATTTAGAATTTAGAATTTTCTGTTCTCTGATAAAAGAAGCCATGGGCCTTTGCTAGGGCAGTTTTGATTTCTTCAAGTAAGAAGAATGGCATCTATAGCAGGCTTATTTTAAGACTTTGATTTCTTGTACCTGTAGATGAAACCACTGAGGAGATTTGGGTCTCTTTTGTTCTAAAGGTCAGCTTTTATTAGCTTCTCTCAAAAACTCTCCTCAGGGATACTTCCCAGAAAGAAACGAGTAAGTCCCTGAGCTGCCCCTTGTTGACAGTGACTGCCTGTGCAAGAAAGCAGGTGAAGTGAAAAGATGGAGAAACCTGACACACCTGACTCTCCATCTTGTCTGAACCGAGCAGTCAGTCAGTTCCTATGCAGGAAATCCACAGCTGCAGGCTAGACTGGGATTTTTTTTTCCTTTTTCCTTTAGCATGCCAGAAGAAGGTAGCAGCAAATATTTTCCATACTGTCATGAAGAAAACGGCATGGACGTATTTACGAGGTTATAAAAGGTCAAGCTCAACTCAAAGGAGATTTTAACTCTTTTTTAAAAAAAACCCTCAGAAGACAGAATTAATATATCAGTAACAGCTTGTCGTTCCAAGCTATCCCGAGCAATTTAGATTTCACTGCCTTCTTCCAATAACTGCTATTGCTAAACGTGATGTGCAGGACCCGAGTAGATTGGGCTTCCTAAAGACGACTTAATCCATGATAAAGGTGACTATTACTCAGAGGAGGCACATGCCCAGGTAGGACAGCAAGTTCTGTCCACTGAAGTGGATCAAAGAGCTAAAAGAAATAGCACTGCAGTTGGAAAAAAAAAACTTTACTCTTTGTCCCAAAAGCTGTAGGGCAGGGCAAGAGAACTGGGAAGGCTGCAGATTAAACAGGTGTTAATTCAACACCATTGGAGAGAGCCTGGGTTATTTCCCCCCCACCCCCACCCAACTATTCCCATATGGCTTCCTGGGTATCCATTTTGAAGCTAAGTAACAATATCAAGATCATTAGAACCTAATAATGAAATTGCAACTAATCTAAAAGAATCAATATGCAGCATAATGAAAAGGGAGTGAGTGGAAAAGGGATTAGGGATGACTACTCTGTTCCCTTAAAGAGCTTCCAACAGGAGATCAGACTATCAGTAAATCGGGAGGAGGGGGGGGGGGAAGGCAGCCTGGATTTATAGGGGGCAGCTTCATCTGTAGGGCAAGCTCCTCACAGCAGGGACACAGGCACAATCACTTTCTCTCTTTCCAGAGGATGGTGCTATGGAAAGTAGTAGAGGAGGAGCCAGGATAAGCAAGAGGTCAATTAAATATAAAAACAGTGACAGTTCCGGGCCACAAACAGTGGGAGCTCAGAATTCTGAACACTTGCAATAACTGTGCAGAAGAGGGGAGTTTGGCTACGTATCTCCCCAAATAAGCCCCGATTGAGCTCTTCTGATTAAATGGAAGCAGCCTGCTGATTTGACAGCCACAACCCCACAGCCTGCCAAGGTGATCAAGCCATCTCCCTTCCTCCAGCAACCCAGAAGGAACTCCTCTGGCTAGCTATTCCCTGCTTACAGTGTTGGCAAAGCCTGATCCTAATATATCAGGGCTGTCCATGGTGAGCTCCAATTTCCCAACTGGCATACTTGCACCAACATACAGAGGGGGTCCCGAGCAATCCATGATCTAGTCCATTTTGGCCAGCTTTGTCTTTAACTAGGTCACAAGCCTGTGGTTGAACCTTGGTTAGTTTTAAGGAGTGAGTTTAGTTAATTGACGATGATTGTGTGAACCCAGAAAACTTGAGTTAATTGAACCGGGTGGAGTCTCATGTTGCCACGCTTGGGCATTTGGGTGAGTGTAACGAAAGGGAGCATCAGAACAGGGAGAAAAGGGTTAACCTGGATAAAACGCCAGGGAAGACTGCAGCTGGAGAAAGACCTAAACCAAACGAAGATCTCATCACTGGCAGAGTTTAAGCCTGACTTTCAAATCATTGATCCTAACCAAGATGGCAATGTCACCTCCAGTATGAAAGTCAGCAATGTTCTCTAAGCTAGTAGTTGGGGAACACAACGAGAAAGAGGCTACTGTACCGAATTCTGTTTAGAGGGGATTTCTGGGGGAAACTAGCAGATTTGGAGCCAATCCACGTGTTAAAACCCAAACGGACGTTCTTGAAATCCGCCAGAGATCACACACGCTAGGAGTGCAGATACTTTAAAATCTGGTGATACAACAGTTCTCAGGGATGAGCTGACGATGATGTTCCGCATGTGCCCAGCGTCTGTCTTTAGCCCGCTTCCCTAGCAATGAATAGCACTGGAAATACCGAGGAAAACGCGTGTTTAGGGGGACCGGGCGTTACACGACGACTTCAGGACGAACGTCCCGAGATTAGAAAGCCCACCTAGAAAACCGATCCGAGTCAAGGTTAACCTCGGGTTGAGGTTTACTTTCCGTTCAACTTGTCACTGGGGGAAAGCAGGGCGTGTGTGTGTGGGTGGGGGAGGATACATACCACCACCACCACCCCTAAAAAAGTAGGCGCTCCCGACGTTAACCAACCTGCTCTGCTGCCTCCGGGTCGAGATGAGGCTCCAGCAACGGGACCGTAAATTGGATCTTACGGGGACTGTTGGGTTCCATGCCGGCTCCGTCGTCCCGGGAAAAATCGATGGCGCTCACCCAGCCGCGCTCGATAATATCTATACCTTTGCTCGCTCTTCCCTTCGCCCGTCCGGTCTGCGGGCACCCCGCCACTCGCTTTCCCACCCAGGGCGCCCGCACCCTCCCCTCTCCGCCTTCCCCGCGAACGGCGCTGCGATTGGTCGCTCAAGATGCCCGCCCGCCCCTCCCTGCGAGACAAGCGCGCGCGCGCGCAAACACACACACACACACACACACACACACACACACACACACACACACA